CGACGCCCCGCTCAGCCCCAAAGCTGGGGGTGCCCCCGCCGCAGCCTCCGAGTAATCCAGATGTGGCACGAGAGGGAGAGCCTGTGGGATAAATCCTGCATAAGGAAATGGGAAGATCTGGGGAGGGTAGCTAGCAAATAAAACCTCCACCAGAACCCTCCTTGGCCTTCAGGATATTGGTTTTTTTGGTCTTATTTTAGTGAGATCCACAGCTAGACAGAATCTATCTAAGGCAGACCCCAGGCTGTTATGCTTAGAGGAAGAGGCTGTGTGATATTTTATTAAAAAATTTCCGAAGGATTGCCAGAGAAGCTGTGCCTTTGCAGGTCGCGGAAAGATAACCTCGCCTGTGTTTGTCAGGTGCGCGGTGCTGCAGCTGTAATGTATGGGTTTTAAATGGCTGTCACGTTTTTGTTATTTAATTATTCAAATGAAGTGCCTTGCTGAGAGGAAGAACAACCCACGGAATGACCTCTTGTGCGTTATTTTGCTGTTCGTTTTTTGTCCTGACGTGTCTGTTTACGGTGTTTGGAAAAGGGATGGTTGCAGAGCTCCAGGTGACTGAACGCCTACAACGCTGGGCAGAGGTTTTTTTGCATATCGTGGTGATAACCGGCATGCAGCTTTTCCTCAGGCCACCAGACAGGTCACGAGGGGTTAAGGGACAAATAGTTGCTCTTTAATTCTGTAATTCCTTCTTTAATTAAACTTCATGGCTCAGCTACTGGTAGGGCTTTTGGCTGCCTCTCCCCTTTTGAGCTGTGCAGTAACGGGGGTGCTGGTGATCCTGAGGGGTCTGGCCGGGGATCTCCCAGGACACTAGTGAGTCTCCTTCTTTCTCTTATTTATAGCTTGAGGGGTTGGAGTCTTAAGATCATTAGGACAACAGTAAAGGTTAGTGATATGCATGTTGTGTGTCTGTGGAGGTGATGGAGATAGAAATAACCCAGCTAAAATCTGACCACCTTTACCTGTACTGAATAGTATGTTTTTATATCATGGAAATCAGTGGATCTAGTAGCGAGGTACTGCTTAGCAAAAGGGTAATACACCATGGCTATTGAGCATATACAAAAAATAGTTTGGTTTTTTTTTTTTTTTTTAAAGGCTGAGGTGTGTCCAATTTATGTGCTTAGCCAATACTCTGGCTTCTCACCTATATAAAAGTCTAATAATGGTATTTTAATAGGAAAAAATAAGAATAAAAACGTCCTTAATTAATAATATTTAAGATGACTTTATAAGAAATAAAAATAGTGCAGTGTGTTGTATAGACATGTAGCTCTCATTTGACATTACATTTGTCTGATTTTAGTATTGCAGAGCAGACGAGACAAAGGAACTCAATGTTTTCAGTAAAGCTGCACATGGCAGCCAGGCCTGGCGAAGGGTAACACCAATGAAATCACGTAGATATGAAAGCCATTTAATTTGATACATGCTTTCTCCCTACTTTAATTTTATTTTTTTCTCTCTAAATGTTTGCACTTGATTAGACTTACTGTCCTGGACTTTTAGATACTTTGTTCATTTTTTTTCTGACTGGTTTACCTTTGTGCATTTCATATACTGCTTAATGAAATGTAAAGCTAAAATGAAATTAAGTCAGTGTTTCAGTTCTGCATTCTCGCTGCATGAGTGCAAGGTGAAACATCACAAGATTTTGCTCAGTCTTTATAAAACATTTTTAGAAAGATCATGATAGGCCTCCTGATACTTCCTACCCAGCTGGTGAGGGAATTCACTTCAGAAATTTAGCAATAAATATCCACTTTAAATTGCACAGTTTAAGCTGGCTTTTTATAGGCATATATGTACATGTTTGAAGAAGTTCCATCCATACATGTAGAGTCTGAGAGTATTGAAAGAGCTCCTGAGATCTGAGGATTTGCCTTTTTTTTTTAAAAACAAAACAAAACAAACGAAAACCCAACAAAACCCCCCTCGTTGTACCCAATCAAAGGCAACTTTTGTCAGAGAAGTTGTCTCCAAAAGGGACCTTCCTGAGCTCTGTTTCAGATCTTACCACATCAGGTATGGTCAGTGCAGTGCTAGCCAGTATGACCCTGTTAGCATGGCTCGTGTGCTCTCCTCCACTACTCTAGCTTGTCAGCAATAGCTGTTCTGCTTAAGGTGGGTGATTTGTATCTGAGGCTAAACATAGGGAAACCATATTTTAAATATCCTGTGTTTCTTTTTATTCTTCAACAGCAGCATGAATCCATCCTGGAGGGTTGTAACTTGGCAGTTGCTGAGGAAGGCAGGTATCACTGATTTGCTTGGGACCCCAACTGAGAAGATTTGGGATTTGTCACTAGCTCTGACAATGTGTTACATTCATTTTGGGATACCCTAGATTGCCTGTTTAATAAGGAATGAACTTGAGCTGTTTGGGATAGGATGTTTGTGCTGATTCCCCTTTGTTCTCAGGGACAATATTCTCAAGAACCAGAACAGCTTAATCCAGTCTTACTTGGGGCAAAACTTCCATGCAAGTCAGAGACTCTGGGAGTTGGATGTTTTCACAGTGCATCGATGCTGGGCTCTGTGGGAATTTCTCCTGATGTCCTGTGTATGTTGGGTCCAAAATATTGATGGTGTCTGGACAATGAAGATAGTTTTCACATAAGAGCCTCTGGTCTAGCAGTAATTGTTCCTTTTTTGGTATGCAGAAATTCATGAACTCTTTAGCTGAGTTGTCTGAAAAAGCACTTTGTCTTTCTCATGCTGTAAGACCAAGTAAACAGATTAGGTGTATTTATTAGTTCAAATAACTTGAGTGAAATTGGAAATGTAAGATAGCTAGAAATGAACGTAGGGGGGGAGCTGGAGCTTGAGAAACTGATTTCTTTCTGGCTTTGCCTTCTCAGTTACCTCCAAATAAATCCTGTTAAGAAGACTGTTTTAAATCAATGTCTATGTCAATAATTTATTTGGAATAACTGAACTAGTAGAAGGAATGCTTGTATTTTGACTGAACAAGCAGTTTCAGCATCACTGGGGAGTGCCTGCCCTCTTTAGGTGGTTTCCCTTGAAGAGTCAGGCAAGAAGGAATGCTTGTCGCCTGGGACAGCAGCTGATGCAAGTGAACACTGGCTTTGGAAGTCTGCTCTTGGTTCATTACTGTTTGTTGGAGAAAGAGAATGTGGTCAGGTACTGGAAGAGGCTTTGCTGCCTTCACAGGTATAGCTATGGGTTCAGCCGTAGCTGGGCTGTAGCTGGAGTTCCCTTGATCTCCAGGGAGAACAGGGGGAACAAACAGTGATGCCAGGAGCTGTCTCTGTGTGTGTGTGATCTCACTCTCTCCATGTCCCTGAAACCCAGTAAGAGTTTTGGTTCTGATTTCTCTTTAAACTGCTGATTGCAAGTGTTGGTAGCCCCTTCCTGGGTCATGGACATGCTGTACGTGATCTGTTTCTTGCCGACTTTCCTTAAGGACTGACTCAGGGTGTGGTGTGAGGGGCCTTTGGTCCAACACAGCCTAGCTGTTTTGCAGTCATGTCCTGGAGTGTTGCCCAGAGGCTGAGCATCAGCAGATCTGCATGTAGCTGTGCTCTGTGCTGGAAAACCTCCGAAGGTTAGGAGGAATAATGATGAAACCTTAGGCAAAGGAGGCATGCAGTCTTGTGTATTTCAGCTCTGGTCATCACATATGTTGGAATCTCATTGCTTTAGTAACTGGAAGAGTCAAGTCAAACTATTGCTCTGAGCTATTCTTACAGGACTTCTCTGTGCAATGTGTGTCCCAAGTTGGTTTGGTTTTTGGTTTTTTTTTTGTATTAACACTTGTCTGGCCTGTCCTAAGGCTATGTTAGATGGTCCTAAGACAGGCAAGTAAGTAGCAAATGAGTGGGAATGTTTAAATGTGCTGAGATATACTAACACAAATATGTAAAATACTGTTCAGAGTGTAGGACAAATAATACACATGACATGAAGTAAATATTTGATCGTGTATGAGAATTAATTTCTTCAATAGCACTCCCCATTACCTTTGTAATCACTTCCATAACCATTTCAGCAATAAGGTTTTAGTGATGGATCTATAGGGAAGGTCTCATGGACATGTGTTTATAGAGTCAGAATGTTTAAGTTACAACATGCACACTAGTGTGACAAATACTTGTATCTGTTCACTAATTCAGAGAAAGGAACAAGGCTGTATTGCTTCTCTGATTGCTTAGGACAGAGCAGTACTGCTCAAGTTTTTAAAACGCTTGCAAACTGCTGGAGGAGTTAAAAGAAAGAAATTGAATAATTCATTTACTGAGATTGCTAGAGGTCCTTAAATATTCTTGGGCCAGGAAAGGGTGCTAAACTTTATTTGAGCACATTTGCACAATGTAACATCTAACTGATTCATTTCTCACTTTTTTTTGCTTTTTTGAAGTTTGCCAACTCAGTTCTGAGTCATGGGGGAAAAGCAGCTTTTCCGTATGAGAAGATATCATAGATTGATCCAATATTTTGCTTTTTTTTTTTTTCCTCAACTAAAGGTAATTTTTTGTCTTTAATTCTTTTTTTTTTGAGCATCAGCACCCCAGTCTGATGAAGGGTCTGACATTGATTCTGAACCAGATTTACCTTTAAAAAGAAAGCAGCGTCGTAGCAGGACAACCTTCACGGCAGAGCAACTGGAAGAGCTGGAAAGAGCTTTTGAGAGGACACACTACCCCGATATTTATACCCGGGAAGAACTTGCGCAAAGAGCAAAACTCACAGAGGCTCGTGTCCAGGTATGTATTTAACAAAGGGAGTTTTCTGTTAGCATATTGGGTCTTTTTGTATCATCACCTACCGTGGGGTAGATGGAAAATGTGAAGCTACATTGTTTAAAGCCTTAGCGGGTTTTGCATCTGTACATGGACATTGGTTTTCCAGCTGTTTAAGGCAACAACTGCTTTGAAAAAAGTTTTCTGGTTTCCCCAGGAATTGTTCCATACCTACCATGAATATAATACTGAGCCTTTGGAGAAGAAGGTCTATTACCCCAGTTTGTTTATTTTAGGCATCTGACAGCACTGTGCATGTAATCAGGTCAGCTGTTGTGCCGGTTTATAGTTATTTAACTGATTTAATCTGTTGTTGTTTGGGTCTTTCAGGCATTAACAAAGGAGAAAAAAACATTTTAAAAAGGACAATGTGTCTGTAGAGCCATGCAAATGAGCAGCGTTACTGGTGCAGTATCTACAGTTTACTTTTAGGTTTGCTTTTGAAGTTGACTTGATTTAAACCTTGTAATATCTCTTTTATCCCCACTGGCAGTTTAATGCAAAAGAAAAGAAACCCTGAAATAACTGTTAGGTCTTCACAGCTTCATGTAGATCTGGATTGTCTAAAACAAGCTAACGTGTTGGAGGGGTAAACCATGGAGTTGATTTAAATTAAAAAAAAAAAAAGAAAGAAGCATGAACCTGGATTTTCAGATGTCCAAAAATGAGCAAATATCAGCCAAATAATTCTGGAATAAGCTGCACCCCGGAGTTCAGGTTCAGACTAGGACTTAGTCTGTTTCACGGCACAGAAGCACTTCCTGTAAAATGTTTAATACCGCAGGCAGAATCCTCCATCAAGTAGATGTCACTGCTTGACATCTAAGAGTCATTTGGAAAAACATGCTTAATTTAAATCAGTCTGAGTTTCAAGTGTTCGCAAGCAAATGTGCGGTTGGGTGACGAGCAAAATGTTGTAGCTTGTGATCTAACCGGGGAAGAGAAATGAGTGGTAACTTGTGATCTAACCAAGGTTACAAGTGAATTTGGTTGCTTTGGTGAAACTCTGTTTTTATATTTTGACCTTTGAAGCTCAGCCTGAGGCATTCAGACTCTGCAAACTGAAATAAGCAATACAAAATATCCCTCTGACTTTTTAAGACGAGCATGCCTCTTGCCGCATGGCTGTATGATTGAGTATCTGTCTTGAAAGGTCCAGACTTTTTCAGTTTTACCTGCTAACTATTTTTGCAGAAGACTTCACATTTCTTGTAAGTGTTTGTCATGACTGTGAGAGAATATCAGATGTATGGATGAATTTGTCTGGAAGGTGAACTCAGTGGTGCATGACTTTTCTTAACATGTTTACCAAGGGAAATGCTTGCAAAACAGCTTCATATATAGACTTGGGCCAGGTAAGACCAAATCAAGCCCTGGGAATCATCCACGCACAAACATAATATAGAGAACTTCCTATGCAATTTCTGTTAGCAAGACAAATGGGATCTAGGGTATGAAGTTTTGGTCTACGTTAGCTTCAGTGGAAAAATATGATAAAATGAAAAAGACATTGTTTGTGTTTTTCTAAATCAATGACCCACCACTAGAAGAAAAGCAGAACTCTCATTAACATAACAGCTGTCTTAATGTGGCTTTAACCCTGTGACTTTTTACATTCCTTATGGCTTCCTTGGTTCCCTTGAGACACATCCTGTCTCACACCACTCCTATGATCTACAGCCTCACAAATTCCCCGGTACCTCTGACATATGGATATTTTACCTAACCCAGCATGAAAGAAAGTTCCCAGTCAATCAATGATTAAAATACCAGAACAAAACCTTTCGGGATTAAAGATGAGCTGGGGTTGAAGTAGCCAGCCTGTGGGCAGCTTCCTAGTGCACTCCATCTGTCTGGTACCCTTGAAGCCTGGCAGAGTGATTTAGCAGTGGATTAAGGGATACAGGATTTGCCTTATCAGCATTCAGCACCTCTCTGTAGCCCCTTAAAATAGCCACCTATGATAGGCATGAAATAAAAGACAACCTGTGAAAAGAAAATAACCCTAAGAGACTTGAGGCTGAGAGGGCTGGATAGCCACACTGATGTAGCATTCAAGCTTTCTTAGTCACACTTCTTTTTTGGTAACAGTGTGACAGAGATCAGAGATACCAAATTTTATATGGATATATACACAAAGATGTCTTTGACTGCTTCCCGATCAAGCATCATCTAAAAAAGCTATCTCTTTTCAGCTTGAGTCCAGCTCTGGAGCTATAAGGACTAATTTTGTAGAGTTGTTTTACATTGTCTAGGAAGTTGTTTAATTGATTGCAACTGGACCAGCCTTGCTATTCCCTCAGTCCCTCCATGTAGCGCTCGCATCTCCTGTTTTGTTTTTCCTACCCTGCTGCCCCCGTGCTTCCTCTCTCCTTCTATTCCCCGAGGAGGTCTCTGAACACCCGTGAAAGGAAGAGTCTTAAACTGCCAAATCATCTATTTTCTCACTTTCCCACTGTTGAAGGGTAACCAAATGCCTGTTTCTAAGCTGGTTGGTTGGAGGCGGAGGGGGGAAAGTCGCCTCTGGGCTGATATCAAACTTAGAACATTTCAGCCCCTAAGGGGAATCTTTTGAAAGCTACAAGCAACTGAAAACAGGCTTTACACTGTGAATGTTATTTGTGTACTTAATTGTGGGGACAGGAAAAGCTTTTGGGGAAAGAAGTGTTGCAGCAAACTCCTCATTGCAAGAGTCACGAGGTATAACTGTAATCATTGCTACTACTAAAGCAGGGGGTGTTACAAGTAGTTAAAATGCTCCCTGCAATTCCTCCTGCAGCGCCTTTCCACTCAAGGACCACTGAGGCTTTCTCCCCCGTGTTTGAGCCTAGATGTCATGTCAACCGTCAGGACAACCTCTGCTGCTGCCTCTTCCAAAGGCAGCCAGCCCTTTTTGCATGTTAGATGCAGCAGGAAGGGGAAAGTTCTTTGGTCTTGTGCATTCATCAGATACAATTCAGAAACATAAGTAGAGTCCCAAAGGATAACCCTTTATTATTAAAAAAAAAAAAAAGTAGTAATACCCTGAGAATGTGAAGTTAGATTCACATATTGTGAGTAAAAAAATCATAACCATGCAGTGCTTTACTAGTCCAGTTTAAAAACTCATTAAAACCATCATTAAGTTGCAGTGCAGGCCCTTAAGGTCTGTGGCCTATTTTTACTGGTTCAATCTGAAGGCGAATTCTAAAAGGGAAATTTTCCCCAGTCTAGATAAAGATCAAAGGCTCTTTCTGAGCTTCAGAGCAGTGCGGTTATGGTTTCTTTAACAAATAGTGCATAAGGAATGAAGTGGGTAGCATCTTTTCTGGCCACCTTTTGATTCCCACATCAAGCTTATTTTTAGACCTGGATGAACTGGGTGAACTTTGGCAGCAGCTTGGAGCCTGTTTCAGATTGACAGTGGGGGGCATTTAATTCGATCTTTTGGTAAAGGACTTTTAAATAAGCTTCAGGTTTGTCCTGTGGCAGGTGGAGGACCAGGAGCCTGCCTTGGCCAGTGGGGACTGGCCAGTCAGACCAATCCTTTTGGGCTGTGTGTTGAAGGCAGGCCTCCCAAATTATCAGAAATGTGATGTGTGAGACTTGCATGTTGGACCGTGTTGAGGATGTGTCCCCAGCTGTATGGGATTGTGTGAGGCAGGAGGTCCTGCCGTGAGAAGCGGCTGGCACACAGCCTTCCTGCTTAACCCCAAAAGGCAATGGGAGAAATTTGTTTGGACTCTTTTAGTCCATGAACAATGGTGAAAAAGCAGGGGAAGTTAGGAAGAATTCTGAAACATGAGTATGTCCTGTCCTGAAAAGATTCTTCTCGGCCAAATCCCCAGTTTAAATTGGTTTGCTTGAAAACTTGCAAAAAGAAAAATATTGTTTAACAAAAGAGCATGTCTGAAAATTCAGGCAGATCTCTCCAGGCTACTAGGATGGGATTGAATATTCCCATGTCAAACTTGTAATCAGCTTGTAAGCTTTTGTAAAAAGCTTAATATAGCCTCAGCAAATAAAAGAAGTCCCAAGAGTTCAGATATCTTGAGTAGCCGGGAGAAAAATGACAATTTTTTTTTTTTAAAGTGCTGTGCTTGCATATTTTTTTCTTTGTTTCACTGTGGTACAGGGAGGGGAAGAGATGGTTTGGAGAAGAAGATAGTGAGGAGAAAGGTGAGAGAAGAAATGATGATTCTTAAGTTAGTAGTAAGTTTTGAAAGCTCTGACGTTCAATCTCTCAGCTTTAATAGTCTCTTCTCAGTAGCAAACAGTGAAAAGCATTCACTGGGAAATCATGGGGGAGGGAGGACCTGTGCCAAAAAAAAGTCTTTATTTGCCCTCAGCTCCTCTGAAATGGTTTGAGCATGTATGTTGAACTGCACAGTCCTACAGCGAGATGGGGTAAAGGAATGTGGGACAGATTCAGGAACATTGAAGACCTTTCAGCAGATCTTTACAGTTATTCCTGATGTGGTTTATGGAGAATTTATAGTGCCTTTTTTGAGGCTGTCCCTCTTGCATCATATATAGGATAAAGATAGAAAATGCTGTGTGCATTCTCGTAGTAGATAACCCTGTAATTGCAGATTCCGCCCCCCTCCCCGCCCCGGGGTAAAGGAGAAATTCTTATGGGTAAATTAGCCAACTGCAAACATATGCAGGCCCAAGAAGACATTTTTAAATATAAAGGAAAAGGGATGTGATTTTGATTCTCTTTTTCTGGTCCCTGCTGCCTAAGGCTCAAATTAGTGGCGCTTTAATTTATAAATACACAGTTCAGTTTGCTTATTACTCTATTTTGCAGAACTATTCAGCCGCAGTGTTTTAGAAGTATTTGTGTAGGACTGAGACAGTTTTTTTCAAAGAAACGTGTAAGAGTTGTTGGATTGCACTGGGAGGTGGTTGGAAGTCCTCATTCCCTTTGGCACAGCCTAGTAGTTTCTTGGTCTGTGTTTTTCTTCCCTTTTTTTTTTTTTTTT